CATTCTCCTCTTACTTACGGAAGATGATCGAGGTTCTCAGGGTTGGACTTGGGCCTCACTGTCACTCGGTTCACCTCGTTGTGGAGCCCATCCAGAAGAAAGCGAAGAAACTCCTGAGCATCTTGCTGACTGAGCCCAAAGGAAAGAGTGAGCAATAGCTCTCATTCCGAGAACCACCCTGTGGCCGGCACCCACCCCGGGGAGGACATGTCAGCACGGCTCTTACTTATAGCCAACGAAGCGTGGTGCGTATCTCTGGATCTGGGTCTTGAACTCAGATGGGCTCACCACATCATTGGGGGATGAAGTCCATATAGTCTGGATTAGTTTTGCAAACTCTATTGGAAGGAGAGGGTAGAGAGGGGGGGAGTGGAGGACAGGTGAGACATTTTCTGTAAGAAACTCAAACTAGAATCCCAACAAAAAGAAGCCAAAGGGAGAGGACTAGGAGGAACACATACAGCACACAACTACTGATACAACCGTGGAGCAGAACCAGGTCCAGGGCCAGGCGCCTCACCTTCCATGAGGGCTGTGTGGGCATTGCTGCTGTGGCTGAGATCCCGCATGTAGAGCCTCTGAAGGCAGTAGTCCCTCAGCTCCCGGGTGTTGCTCAGGCACTGCAGAATGGAGTTCATGAAGCACTGCAAGAGATCACCTGCTCAGTAAGACACAGCCCTGTCTGGCATGTCCACTCCCCTAGTACCAGAGGCCCTCTGGCTCATCTACCCCAGAAATGAACACTCCCACAGTCTCAAGTTCCTCTTTCTGTAAGGGAAAGGGGCGCTGTGGGGCCGACTCCCACTGGCGGCACAGGTGACGTAGCTGGTTATTGACTGTGAGGTGTACAGAAGGGTGTGGGTGAGCCGGACAGAAGTGGGTGGGAAGTGATGGATGTCCTTCAGGATAAGGCTCCGGGAAAGCAGCTGACAGTAAAGAGGGCAACTCCCCTTTAGCGGTGCTTCCTGCTAGGGGCCAGGAGGGAGGCGGTGCCCCAGCCAATCTGTAAAACCCACCAGCCAGGATGGACAGTATAACTGGCCTCTAGACGACAGGGAGTCCGCAGGAGCCAGAAGGGAACTCTGGCTAGATGGGCCCACTGGGACAGGAGTGCGTGGCCTGAGGAAAGAAGTGGGCTGGGAAGAGCTCACCGTGTTCCCAAGGTTTCGAAGACCAGCCAGACCCTGGGCGCTCTTAGAATTCTGGAAACAAAGAACACACAGCATATGAGGCTGAAGGCAAAGAGGCTGGGCCAGTGCTAGGCGCACTCACGCAGCTTTCTGCCAGAGCCAGGAGGATCAGGCACACACATTGTTCTCTCTCCAACACACAACACAGACACTCTGCAGGGCTTTCCTTTCCTTTGTTGACATGTGCCTTCTCCGATCTGTACATGCCTCTTCAGTCTCTGCCATACTGGAGGCTGGAGATTAGAGCTAGAGCCTAGGAATTCATGTATTTGATTGCCAGCTACAAGGAACTCCGGGTCCCAAATCTGGGCACTATCTCAAAATGACCCACTTTTCCACCCCTAGATGTCCAATACACGAAGCAGCTGTCGTAACAGGCGCTTCAAGGAGATCTTGAAATGTTCAATGACAAAATGTCTGAAGTGAGTTTAAGATCTTCAGCTTGAGGAAAACTGAAGTTGGCCTGCCATTCTGAATTGCCGGAGACAGGTGGAATTCCTTCCAGCTGAGCTCAGCTCCCAGAGGCTGATTAAAGCCTGGGAGAATCCTCCCAGCCTGGCTCAGGTTTCGGCATCCTGACTGGTCACTGGCTGGGAGCCCTTCTGATGGCAGACTGTGACCACACAGGGGTAAGCACCTGGCTGGGGGTGCCACTCTCGTTCTTGTCCCTATTGTGGAGGTTGGTGAGGGGGTTGGAGTGAGACAGCTGCTAGGTCCAGATCTCTTGGCTAGTCCTGGCCCTACCTGCAAGGAGTCAGAAAACCTTAGGGCTCAAAGGGTTAAAGAAACAGTGTGCAGATGAGCCTGCCACCCCCTCTCTCAGGGAGGGGACCCGGGAGCCGGCAACTCTGGAGCAACACTGACTGGGGCATGCGTGGGGCCAGCTCAACCCTGATCAGAACAGGAGCCTGAAATAACTCAGCTAAAATTACTCATGCCGTGTGCTGACAAAGCCCATGAGGTTGTCAGCTCGAGGGGGTGGGGTGGGGAGAGGCAGGCTGAAGGAGGGCTTTTCTCAGGAATTGCCCTGCTGATCCCACAAGTAAGAGGATCCCTTCTTGCCAGTTATCAGGTCTGACACTAACAGGTAGGGAAGGAAATATACTGAGAAGAGAGAACTGGTTTCCACCTGCAGTCAGCAAGCAAAGCTTATTGGCAGTAGGTGGGCAAAAGCTTCCTTGAATTCTGCCAGTGCCACCAGTATATGGCCCCAAACACAAGATTTTCATCTTACCTTTCTGACAGTCTAAACCCTGACGTTCCAGTAAGAGGACCACAACAGAGATAATTCCCTGGACAAAGACCTTATCAGGGTTTTCAGGTAGACCTGGAGAAGGACTTCCCTGGTGCCCCCCCCAAAAAAAGCCTGTCCACCACAGGATACCCATCCTCCCCTCCCCAAAGATCCACTCTCACACTTATTTTTGGCATTGCGTGTTAGTTCTTACCCCCTGGGCCTCAGACAACATCTGTCTAAAGGAGCTGCAGAAGCAAAGCCTGGTGATCATGTCAGTGTCCACCAAAGTGGGCCTCCAGCTGAGACAGTAGTCCCTCAGCACTAATGGGGACAGGGCAGTGGAAAACTGGAGGTGTCTTTGCACTGAGGCACTTCTGTGGTGTTGACACTTTTAACTCTGACCCAGCACAGTGAGGGTCAAGAACACGTCATCACCTACGGTTACTGTTCTTGAGAATCTAACTCTACTAACGGCCTGGCAGGTATAGAGATGGGGAAGGTTCCTTTATGGCTTTGCTCGGACCCTCCGTTCGTTTTTCTTTTTGTAGGGGTGGGGGTGGCTTGTGCTTTTGTCTAAAATTTCCTGAATTCAAAACTACTTGCCAATTTCTAAGCGCTCTGTGTAGAAGGCGGCTGGATGAGAGGAGTCGGGGGGTGGGAGTGGAGGGGAGAGCAGGGCTGTTCTGTGCCCAGCCAGATATTCTTCGGCCATGAATAGGAAATCAGGAGCTCCAGGGAAAGTCAGCACTTTCCATTCTGGAGAGGAACAAAATGTCCCAGGAGTGACCTTTCTTATGGGGAAAACAATCCTACCTCTGGGCCGAGAGGGAGAGGCTAGAACTGGAGAGGCTGGGGGAGAGACCCCACACAGCGAGCCTCTCACCGGGAGAGAAGGAAATGACTCCAGTTGCTATGTGGAGTGCATACGCAAAGACTTGAAAGAGTCTGGATCAAGAACTTCCTTAAAATCAGTCATCAGCAAACCTAACCTTGACTTAGGGGCAACCACTGTTCTAAAAGGTCAATGCCACCTCCATGGTTAGTAGACAGAAAGCATTCACCCTCCGTGAAGGGGCAGGAGGCTCAGGGAGAGCCCGCTCTGGGTTAACGGGGAGCAAACATTTGGGGATGTGGGTCATATAAGCAAGGCTGATCGAGGTTTGTGTCTTTACACTCAAGACCCCAGTGAAGGGCTTTCCTGCTTACTTCACCTGTGCCATGAGGGTCAGCCATGAGTCCTGGCTGCGGCCAAGGAGCCTGGTGTGGCCCTGGCACGGGGCAGTGCACGCACTGCCAACTCGGGAGCTGGTGCCTGTTACATAAGATCTGTCAAGCTCTGGCCTCTTCTCCCTTCCCCAAGGGGGCAGTGCCCAGCTTCTGGCCCCAGCATTACCCTGGGGTGGCTACTTCATCTGAGGGATCCACTGCCCACTTAGCAGAACTGGGGGAGGGCAGGAAAGGAAAGGGAAGCTGCCCTCTTTCACCTGTCTGCGACTCCTCTGCCCTTCACCGGGTCAAAGGACCCCTGTTACCAACCCTTCGGGAGAGCGCCCTTTGGGGCTAGTGAGGAGGGGGCGGCTCTTTCCGAACAGCCTTTCTTGCTGGGTTTTGGCCTTGGAGGAGTCACACCGCCGAGTGGAGCGTGCTGCCGGCTCCCTCACACAGTCACACAGCCAGAACTAGTCAAGGTTACGCTTTTCTGCACCTGTCCTGAGAGGTGCCAGGAATTAAGAGCCCAAGGGCCACCTGGTGCCCGGGTCACGAAGAGGGAGAGGGGAGGGGGGGGGACCTCAGGGGCTGGGACCTCAACAAGGGGAGAGGGCCGCGAGTAAGCCTGAGATCACCTGGGGAGGGGGCATTCCTTGCCGGGAGACCCTAGGAAAGGAGGGGTGGGGGCTGGGAAGAATCGGTCCCCCCCGGCCCCGGAGCGCGCGGCAGATGGGGGTGGGGGGCGTCCCGGGGAGGAGGCGGAAGTCCAGGCCCCCGGCGTGGGGGTCCCGGAAAGGGGCCCCGCGTACCTTGGCTTTGTTGAGCAGGAGCCCCACGAAGGTGGAGAGCAGCAGGGAGGGGGAGAGCGGGGAGCGCGGCCGCAGCTCCTTGGCGAGGGCGGGAAAGGGGGAGGCCGGGGGCTCCTCGGGCAGGGTCACGGTGTACGAGGTGCGCATGCTGGGGGGCGGGCGGCGGGCTCGGCCCCACGCCTAACGTTGGCAAAGGGGGCGCGGGGGGGGACCGCGCGGTGCCACGACCCGGACGCTGAGGCCGGAGAGGCCGCCACAGGACACCGTCCGCGGCGCCCGGCGGTAACTGCTCCGGACCGCCGACCGCGCGCTCCTCCGCCTCAACCTCCCCGGCGCGCGCCGCCAACCGCCCCGGTAACCGGCTCTCGCGCTCCGCCTGACTGGCGGCCCCGCCAGCGCCTCGGGCCCCACGACGTCAGCGCCGGGGGCGGGGCCACCACTCCGGCCCCGCCCCTGGCGCCGGCACGCGGCCCCGAGCACGGCCGGGGCCCCGCCCCCCGTCCCTCGTCCCCCTCTCCAGCCCCGAGCCTCCCGCAGAGCGGCCCCTAGCCGGGACTGCCCCCCTGCCCGCTGACCCCACCGGCCTGGCTGCCGCCGAGACCCGCCGTCCCCGGGAAGGGCGGGACAGGCGCGCCGAGCCCCCCGCCGGCATCGGGGTCGGGACTCAGGAGGAGCCCCACAGGACTCTGTCAGTCCGGTGAGCCGCCCCCCAAACCGGGAGGCTTACGGTCCCTGACTTCTGGGGGCTGCCGGGCATTTGGCGCACCCTGTGAAAGTTCCGTGCTCTCCGCGGGGGGAAGATGCACTTGCGCACAAACTTTTGCACGTTCAGGGGGACTCAGGCCCTCCCGGAGCCCGACACGCACACAGCTCGAGAGGGTCGGTGGGCCCCCGGGTTAGGAGCACGGATTTCCCTGGCGTCAGCACTGAGCGCCCCCCGCCCAGCACCTCTCCCCAGTCCCAGTTCGTCCCATTATCAAGAGAGCCAGTGCTCCTATTTTATAAGGTACAAGAGGTCACTGTCCCATTTGGCTCCAGGGAAGAACATTTTCTGGCTTCTTTTGTCCAGTTACCCAGCTCCATCTCTCACAGAATCTCAAATTTTGGTTTGTTTTGGAGGGTGGGAAGAAAGTACCACCGCGGTGGGGACACAGGTGCTCAGCCCGGGTGGGGGCAAGCGGACTGCTCTGACCCTGAGGGCTTCGATGCCTGAAGAGCAGAGGTCTTTGCATTTCATTTCAGATGGTCCACCGCCCCTCACCTATCAGGGACCCACACAGAATCTGCCTAGAGAAAGTATCTTGTTTGGAGCCTGCTGGCTATTTTTAGCCAGTATTTTTAGCATTTAAAAATACTCTGAGAAGCAGCAGCGTGTGCTGTTACTCATCTGTGGCCTCCTTCTGTTCCTCTTGGCATGCTCATGGCCACATGTACACGCGCCCTGCTCACACGACCTCAGCCACATGGGGAATATGTCCCGGACACAGGTATGGGATGGGTGATGGTCAGCAAGGGCACCGGTGTGAGGATGGTGAGCGCCCCCCATCCCTGTCCTCACCCTGTGACCAGATCCTGGAGGTGCTGCCTCAGCCTTCTCCCTGCTTCCCTCTTTCTAGGCACACCCTTTCCAGTGAGTCCTACAGTGTCTGCAGCAACGCCGGCCTTTGATTACACCACACTTCTGCCTGTAAGCTCCTAGAGCACCTGACTCCTGTGTCCAGCATGGAAGCTGAGGTAGCTCTGTCTGTGAGGCTGTCTGTCTACAGGCTCCTTTGTCACCACCCTCGCCCTTCTCTGACCCCTGCTGCTAACCAACTTGCTCTTCTCTGCTTCAGCACTTGCCTTCTCTCACTTAAAAGACAAAACTGCCACTGATTAAGTACTCACTAAATGCTAGGCACAGGCTAAGTGCTTTATATATATTATCCCGGTTAATTTGCATAATTAACGCAGTGATGTAGGAACTATTATCTCTATTTTCTAGATGAAGGTCCTTAAGTCCTCAGAGGCCAAATGACTTGCCAGAACCACAAAGCTAATAAATGACAGTGTGGGGCTTTGAACCCCAACCTGGCTTACGGCAAAACCTGTGCTTTTAACAATTACCAGGAGATTCTGGAATGCCCTTCCCGCTCCCTGCCAATTACCTGCTTGTAAAGTCTGCTCAAAACTTGTGTTTTCCACCAAGCCCTCTCTAAAGAACTCCATTCAGCGTGGAACAGCCCATCACAGCATAACCCCTGTCTACTGGTATTCAGCTTACTACACCGTGTTAATTTATCTTAATATGTTTATCTTTGTTTTATAAGTGTCTTTAAGGCTCCTGTAAATGGTTTTAGATTGTCTGTGGGCTTGTGCGATCACACTGAAACCTCCTCGGGCAGGGCTGTGGGTTCTCTTAGTGGGTGCTTGATAAATGGTGTTGATCTCATGTCTAAGTGGGGGCCGGACCAGGCTCTGTTGAGTATCCTGGAAGTCCCACAGAGCCTCACAGGGTGGGGTGAGTCTGGATTTGCATGCTGAATAAGCGTGTTGTGGTAAGCACTGTCTTCACAGGTGCTTCCCCACTGGAGCATTTGGCCTCTCTCCCCATGACTTAGGCCAGCAATGTCATGACTCTTAAACAACTTAGGTCAGTACCCCCATCCCAGGACATCTTGGCATTGTGTTAGCACGCTCACTCCCTCTTTCCTGGGAAGTAGAAGGTTAGAGCCATCGCTGGGAGCAAGGAGGCCCAGATGAGGAAATCTACCTGCAGGGGAGCTCTTTGAGAAGGCTGGGGTGAGGGGAAAGAATTCACATAGGGTCCGGTCTTGTCAAGCAGGTCTGACTGCTGTAGGACACAACCAGCAAGCAACTGTGGCTCATTTCTCAACTGGCCAAACCCCCGTGACACCCTTTCTCCGCAGTGCCATTTCTTGAAGTGGGGTGGGGAAAGGATGGATCTTCTGGGATTGGAATCTAGCTCTGGCTCCACGACTCTGCCTGAAATACGCTGAGCTAATCTGAACAGGACTCATTCCTGCAGCCCGAGATTGCCATTGCTCAGAACCTGTGCTTGGTCCATGTTCCCTGTGGTTAAAAATTTTCTTCACCTCAATCCTTTTTGGCATGGATGGAATATAAATAAATTAGAGTCAGGGTTAGCTCTGTGAGGGCAGGACTGAGAGTATACCCTGCTTCCTCAGATCTCAGTGGCGGCTTGGTTCAAGGGTTTTGGAAACACTGCTCTGACCCAGGCAAATGACCTCCCCTGCCCCCTCCCCTCACCAAGCACACACCTGTCATTACCATCACAAGTGGACAGACTGGTGGCTTGACTGTCTGATTGAATGGGTAGGGGCTCTGAGTCCTTGTTGTGGGTTGGGCTTTTAGACAGAGGGCCTTCTGCTTCCCTGTATCACTCCGACCCCAGGAGGCCAGAAGCTCTGTACTCTTTCCAGCCCTAGGGCAGTCTGGCCTGAACCAGCTGGATTCCAGAAGCCCACACACGTCCCTCTCTTGCTTATGTTTCTGTGTGGGTGCCAGTTTTACCTATCCATTGAGGTCGGAGGGTGCAGGGGGCCACGTGTGCAGCCTGGGCCCTGAACATGATGTTCATTTGTGTAGCTGCTGGTCAGTGGAGCGGCTCCCCCTCGGGCAGGGAACATTTTGCCGGGCTCGGATTAACTTCTCCACTGCTCAGCCCCACCCCAGCACCATGTTAACTCATGAAGACATCCTGGAGCAGGGGTGGAGGGAGGCAGGGAGGATGATGCTGGGCGCTGACTGAGAAACTGAGCCTCGGTGAGGCGGCACGGGGGCCACCAACCAGGTCACAGAGCATAGCCCATCTTCAAGGGATGGGGACCATTGGCGTCTTGCTGACACCTGCCTGAACTGCCTGTCCTTTCTCAGCAGCTCGTACTGGTCCTGGTCATGGGACCCATTAGCTTAAGGTCTCCTCTGAGAGACTTTCCCATGTCAACAGAGACTCAAGCCCTCAGGACGTTCAGCTTCCTGGGGGCTGCTGAGAGGGTCAGGGCATTCCCAGGGTCCCAGACTGCTAGGCTGGACAAACAAGACGACGGGGATGCACTTCAGCATAGCTGAATAAACAGAGAAGGCAGGGGAGGAGAGAGGAAGGTCATACTTCTCCACTTCTCCCCCCGGAACGCTAGGGCAGTCAGTTCCTGCCGCCTTCAACTTGTTCTCTTTGGAGTAACCCCTGCTCGTTGCAAGGCAGCAGTCAAGTTCAAAGTCCCACCCAAGAGTAAAATCACATGACCTCCCCTTATATAATCTCGCTGTCACTGAACAGCTGGGCACCCAAGGCTTCGGGAGATGAGTCAGCAGCCCCTTGGCAAATAGGACCCAGGTACTCTAGGTTCCCAGACCTTTCGCTCGAGCAACAGGTTTTAGAGCAGGGGGCAAGGGTCTGGAAGAGGCTGTGTGGGGAGGATAGGCCGGCAGGCTCTGAGCCTCGCTCCCTGGCTCTGCATCTGAGCAGCAGGTACTCAGCCTGATGACTGTGCTCTGGAGGGCCCTCGGCCAACACCTGCATGCCTAGGGGAGAGCAGAGGGTGGCCTGGGCAGGGCGGGGTGAGGGCAGGGCTGAGGCTGGCAGGCAGAATGCCAGGGCTGGGGAGGGAGCAGTTGGAGGGGTGGAGCAGGGGAGGATTAGGATGGATTGTAGGGGTTAAAGCACAGCCCTGGCAGGGCTCAGTGGGAACAGCTTGTCCTTCCATAGGCCCAGGGAACAGTAGAGGTGGGGCGGAGGGGGCCATAACCAGGCTGGGTGCTTGGGCTCCAGGCTTTCTGCTGGGCCAACCCACCTGGCCTGGCTTGGAGTCCCCACAGGCGATGGGTGGGGTGGTAGTGAAAGCTTTTTTTTTTTTTGCCAGTTCTGAACCATCAGTCCCTCCCCTCCAAACTGTCTGCATTTTAAACAGCACGTGGAGCCTGGGGCAGCCCTCGTTATCTTAGGCTGAGCTGCAGTCCCCCCACCCCCAACTGGTGTTTTGTTGGTGCATATGCGAGCATGGGGGTGGGGGGTTTCAGAATTCAGGTTCCCCCTCCACCAGTCCTTCACTCGTGCTCAGCTGAGTCTGTAATATTCCAAGTTCATGTTGGCTGTTACTATTAATGAGGAGAATGAGCCTGGTTAGAATTGTTCTACTCCCTGGTTGGTGCCTGCTTTTGACTTTCCTTCATGAATGTCAGCTATAGTTCAAGTTGGCTACCCAGAGAGCCCCTGGGGCCAGGGCCACCCAAGGGGACCCCAGAAGAGTCAGATCACACTGGACCCTGCCACATGATACAAGGGTGGTCCCCTCCCTGCTCCACTCAGATGCCAAACACCCCTTTTCTGTCTTCTCCTTTTTTACCAACTCTTCCATAGCATTTTATAGATTTCAGATTCCTTCACAACCAGTTTGCTTTGAGCCTCACGACACCCTGTGAGGTGGGCAGGGCAGTATGACCCATCCCTTTTATGGATGAGGAAACGCAGCGCAGTTGAGCGGTGTCTAAGGTTGAAGAGGCAAACTGTACGTTCCAGCCTCAGGCGACTCCTCCCTTCCCCACCACCTATGACACTTAACAAATGACACCTGGGGCTGCCTCCTATCACAACTATTTTAAGAACTTATTTCCCCAAGTTAATTGTGAGTGCACTGAGAGCAGGGATCACGGTTTTCATCTCTTTTGCCTCCTGAAAGTGCCTAGAAGGGAACAAGGAGGACTAACATTTATTAAGCACCTACTGTGTGCCATACAACCTTTGGTTGCTTACAATGATCTATGAAGTGGGAACTATGAAGACTCTCTTTTGTCAAGGAAACAGGTGCAGAAGTTAAGGAACCTTCTTCGAGGTAGACTGCTAGCAAGCTGAGCCCTGAAATGAATGAATGAGAAGTTCAGATCTCCAAATGGAGATCTGAAAAGACACTGGACCCAGTTTTAGAAAGAAGTGGTGCGAGCCTTGTGAGCAGGGTTGTTGTGACCTCAGGAGAGGGAGTAGGCAGCAGGAAGTAAGGCTGAGAGTGGTGAGGAGAGGGGGTGAGTCTACATGAGGGTCTGGCCCATGAGGGGCCATCCCCATTGGTAGTGTCTTGCCTGTGAGCTCAGGGCAAGACACTGGCTCCACTGTAGGGCGTTAATAGCTACTCAGGTGTGCTGTAAGCTGGTTCTGGGTGGGAAGGAGGGATGTTAGGGTGGCTGAGTTTGCCCCAGGGTAATCAGCCACTCTCTGAGGTCCTCTCTCAAAACTCTCCTGTCTCTGGTCCTGGAGGTGGAGGAGAGGCTGAGGTGCCCCCTGTGGGGGGAACAGGGAGGGCAGCAGCCTCCAGGGAGGGAGGTTTGAGATACGCCTGTGTAGGAAGGAGGCAGAGTTCCAATGGAGTCTGATCCCCCCACCCCCACCAAGGGAGGAGACCCTGGTCTCATGACTGGGACTGAGCGTGGGTCTGCAGTTTAGTCTGTGAAGAGGAGGTTTTCAAACCTCAGCATGCTTAAAGGTTACCTGAAGCGCTTATAAGAAGGACTGATTCCCAGGTATATCCCTAGAGAGTTTGATTCAGGGATCTGGGTTGGGCCCAGGCCCCTGAATGATTAAGCCTCGCAGGCGATTCCTGTGGACCTCACTTTGAGGAACACAGCGTACTATAAAGAACTTTTCTCTTCTGAGCAAAGGGAGGGAGCCTCCCAGAGGTCTTTAATGATTTTTTTTTTTTTTAAGATTTTATTTATTTATTTGAAACAGAGAGAGATCACAAGTAGGCAGAGAGGCAGGCATAGAGAGAGAGAGGAGGAAGCAGGCTCCCCACTGAGCAGAGAGCCCGATGCGGGCCTCGATCCCAGGACCCTGAGATCATGACCTGAGCCGAAGGCAGAGGCTTTAATCCACGAGCCACCCAGGCGCCCAAGCCTCCCAGAGGTCTTTAGGGCCCATCCACTAAGAGCTGCTTTCTGATTGCCCCCAAGGTGAGCCACACCAGACACATCTAAGTGAATCATGCTCCAGTCCAACCATATGTCCTTCTGAGAACACATACTTCTCCCAGGCCAGGCCTGTTTTCCCCCGCTTCTCTTCCATGCCAGCCCTCCAGTGTAGCTGGCCCTGCCTTGTCAGGTTCTGAATGCTCTGGGAGGCACCAACTTTTGTGTCTCCGTGGCCCTTCATAGACAGCCCAGCAAGACCAAGACTCTCTAAGACTCTCTAAGTAATGTTATTAAATTTGTCCCCTCAAGACCTTTAGTTCTGTTAGGCTTAAAGGTCTATGACCCAGGGGCGCCTGGTTGGTTCAGTGGGTTAAAGCCTCTGCCTTCTGCTCAGGTCAAGATCTCAGGGTCCTGGGATTGAGCCCCACATCGGGCTCTCTGCTCAGCGGGAGCCTGCTTCCCTCTCTCTCTCTGCCTGCCTCTCTGCTTACTTGTGATCGCTCTCTCTCTCTCTCTCTCTGTCAAATAAGTAAATAAAATCTTCAAAAAAAAAAAAAAAAAGTCTATGACCCAAAGCCCTACGCCTGTTTTGTACCCCTGCTCCCTTTGTCTGGACGAGCCCACTAAGCAGCATTTATTTCTTGCTGTGCACAGCTCTTATTTGCAAAAGGCACCTGTCCTAGAAGTAGGGGACTGGTACACAACACCCA